CCAATTGCCTGGACTAAATCTGCGCCTCACTGATTGATGAAAGCAAGCTGGGAGAAAACAAGGGTGTCACTATCGCAGTGGATGATGTCATAAACCACATTTTTCAAAGGGTGATATCTCGGTTAATAATCAACATAGAACGTTTCTGTCTGAACAGGTCTTATTATTTTCAGCTTGTTTACAAGAAGCAAGCCCTAAAACACGATTCTGTGACCGGAGCTACTGATTCATTCTGTTGACCAAACAAACCCATTCCATGATTACTTTAAAGAAAAAAAATACGAAGTGGAACTTTTGAAACAGCGCAATTGAGGTATGCGTTTCTTTACTTCCATCGTCGATAGTTGAAAAGTTTTCTCCTTTAATGAATCAAAAGACACTACAGTTTACGTAATACGTTAATTTAGACTTTTCGTCCCTACGCATGAATAAAACTAAAACATGAATCACTGAAATGCACTAAACAAAGGGGACAAGATGATAAATATGTTATATCCGTGGAATACTTTATGAAAAAAAAAAGAAATTGCATCTTCCGAAAAAGCACTCATTGGGAGAACCAAATGGCCTCAATGTAATCGCACTTATCGCGCGCTCAACAGATATTTGCTATCGCTGGGTCATGGATGCGATATGACTGGTTGGGTGGAATTTCTTTAAATTTTTCCCTCTGAACGTGTGTTCTTTGCCTTGCTAATATATGGGCACGCATGGAGAGATTTGGAACATTCGATTGGAAATAGCAAAATCTATCCGCAAACAATATCTAAATTGACTTCATCGGCTAGTGATAGTGATCTTGTTTCAGATATTCCTTGAACAGGTATTCTTCCATTCTTTTCCAACACTTCGCTCTTATCCTCCTACCGAAATTTGGAACGTTGACGGAAAAATGTGGGCGCGTTTTCGGTTTTGGAGTCCCTCCAAAAAATTGGCAACCCTGTTTTGCAGCATTTGATTGATTTTAGGTCCTGCCATTGAATATACGTACGTCGCACTAACCTCATTCTTCGGCGTGTGCCTCATCAAGGGGAAACAGTAAGAATCTGGGAAAATATACTCACACATAACTGAAATTTCGTCCTGAAGTAACGAACCAGCAACAGAAATTGAAACAGGAAAAATGTGGACTGCAAACGAAGTCGAACTCAACCTCGGAAGAAATAAATCGCAGACTGAAGTGCCCCACGACCAACGTTGTGCATGAGCACAGGGAGAACCGAAAACAAACGCACACGTGTTTCCGTTCTGCACAAGCTTTGTTCCCCAAAGATAAGGGCCCACCAAGTATTGAGAATTTTTTTTTCATATTTCCCATCTTACATGTTTCACTTTTCTCCGACCTCACAGAGATTCCTTTTTTATTTGTAAAAATACTCGTCTGCTTTTAGCATACCGATAAAATGAGTCCAAAATCACACATTCAAGTATCCGCTTTTTCCAACCGATCATAGGGAAAGAAGCCGTATAGTATCTGCTTAGGAAGAGTATGGATATATCGTTTCATGGAGGAGGGCCCTAA